TCTGCCCTTGTCTCCTCATCAGTATAGTACCAACCACCCTGTGGTGAAGATTCAATGGGAACAGGTATATGAACAGCACATAGTAGCTTCTCAACAAATGTTAGCTGAGGGCCCCTCACTTTGAGGTCAGGCCTTTCCTGAATTGGCCTCCAGAAGCTCCAGGCCTTCGTTATGGTACAAAGAGTCATTGCAACAGGAAAGAAGGGATTTACCTTCCCAAGAGTTTCAATGGCCTTACTGGCAAAGCCTGGGTCATATGCCCCCCTGTGTAGTAGGGTTAGGAAGGCAATCCCACCCAAATTACGAGCAGTTGGAGGGGGCTATATGGAGGTCCTTGGCTGACCAACTCTGTACTCTAGGCAAGGTCTAACTTTCATATTTTTCTGTAGCAGTGAGGATAGGTGAGGTTACGCTGCAGTAACAAACAGCCCCCAAATCTCAACTTATCATAACAGGTTTACTTCTCATTCATGTTATGTATCGGCTGAGGGTTCTGGTCGGTATGTATCTGGGATCCAGGCTGCCAGAGCCACTACAATCTGAAGTCCTGCCAATCACTGTGGCAGAGGAAAGAATGCCCTGGAGGCTCTTGTACCAAAACTTAAATGCTCTGACACATACGCAACGTGCATAACCTCTAACAAGTTATTGGCCAAAACTAGTCAGATGACTCAATGAACCAGAGAGAGTCCAGGAAGTTCAATTCTACCAGGTTCTAGAAGATGGAGATGGATACATGGGGTTTCTGACACTAACAATTCTCACTTTGAGCAAATGAGCAATTTGTAGAAATTTCAGATCACTGGGGCTGGCCCGGTGGCACAGTCGCTACGTTCGTGCACCCCACTTTTGCAGCCCAGGGTTCAGGGGTTTGGATCCTGGCCGAGGACCTACACGTTGCTCATCAAGCCATGCTGTGGCAGCATCCCATATACAAAATAGAGGAAGATTGGCACAGATGTTAGTTCAGGGACAATCTCCCTCATGCAAAAAAATAAATAAATAAAAATAAAATTTCAGGTCGCTAAATGACTAGACATCAATCAAATGAGTTGTCTATTCCAAATCCCATTACACATCATTCAGCTATCTCTACATTGGGTTCAGCCAGCCCTCTGCTTGCTTGGTTTCAATCTTTTGTGTGGCAGAGATGGCTAGATGTTCCCTTAATAACCATTCACCCATGATAGGGAAGTTTTCACTAGACACATGGCTGTACAGCTAAAGACTACATTTCCCATGCTCCCTTACAACTAGGTCTTGCTGTGTGAATAGGTTCTGGCGAATGGAATGTGTGCAGCATCTGAGTTAGGGCTTTAAAAGGCAAAGAGGATGGCCTCCCTTTCAACCTCTCCCTGGTTCTGGAGTGAGGATGTGGTGTTGGGCATTGGCGTGTACATCTCACACTATGAGATGGAAGCCATGTGTTGTGGATGGGGGAGGAATAAGCCAGAAGGATAGAAGAAAGACGCGATTATGGAGGTAGGCATGCCCCAAGATCTGCAGGGTGAGTTGGCAAACTGGAGACCCAGGAGTCCTGATGTTTAGTTCCAGTCCAAGTCGGAAGTCATGAGTAGCAGGAGAGCTGATGGTGTAGTTCTCATCCAGAAGCTGGCAGCTTGAGACCCAGGAAGTGTCGATGTTTCAGTTTGAGTCTGAAGGCAGTCAGGCAGAAAGAAGTCTTTCTCACATGGGGGAGGGTCCACCTTTTTGTTCTATTCAGGCCTTCAACTGATTGGATAGGCCCACCCACATTAGGGAGGGCAATCTGCTTTATTCAGTCTACTGATATAAATGTTCATCTTATCCAAAAACACCCTCAAAGAATCATCCAGAATAAAGTTTGGCCAAATATCTGGACACCCTGTGGCCCCAGTCAAGTTGACACATAAAATTAACCCTCACAGCCCCTGACACTGGAAGGGACGTTGAAGCAGAGGACCCAGCTAAGCCACACCAAGATTCCACCTATAGTTTACATCTTGTGATGTACATCTATAACTTTAAAATAGCTATAAACTGTATTTTTCTTTGTTAGAAGAGTCTTTTTTTTTTTTTGAGGAAGATTGGCCCTGAGCTAACATCTGTTGCCAATCTTCCTCTTTTTCTCTTTTTTCTCCCCAAAGCGCCAGTACATAGTTGTATATCCTAGTTGTAGGTCCTAGTTCTTTTATGTGGGACGCTGCCTCAGCATGGCTTGATGAGCAGTGTGTTGGTCTGCGCCCAGGATCCAAACCTGCGAACCCCAGGTGGCCAAAGTGGAATGCGTGAACTTAACTGCTATGCCACCGGGCCAGCCCCAGAAGAGTCTTAAAATATCATTTTATCTCTTTTGTCTTTGGATATACAATAAATAGCAGATTCTACTAGATTCATTGTCTTATAATAATATGTAAGAGATATTTATTATTACCAGTGAGCCACGGGAGGGCTGTGAGCGGGGGAGGGCCAGGGTCAGCTTGGGTATAGAAAGACCCTTCTAGATCCACATAGGGGATGGGCTGGAGAGGAGGGACAGGGGGCCTAGAAGTGGGGCTGAGTAAGAAAGTTCTGTCCAAATGACACAGCTGTCAAGCTGAAGACCTGAGAGCAACCATGACAACTGTTCAACTTTGGCAAGTCCATCCCCCTCTCCGGGCTTGGTTTCCTCATCTATAAATAGGCCATAATTATCCTAGGTGTATTAGTTATCTATTGCTGTGTAACAAATTGCCCCCAAACTTAGCAGCTTAAAGCAAAAATAAACGTTTACCTTCTCACACAATTTCTAAGTGTCGGAAATCCATGAGTGGCTTAGCTGGTGGTTCTGCCTTAGGATCTCTCATGAGGTTGCAGTCAGGAGATTGGTGGGGACAGCTGTCATCTGAAGGCTTGGCTGGGGCTGGAGGATGTGCTTCCAAAGTGGCTCGTTCACAGGGCTGGAGGACTTGGTTCCTTGCCACATGTGTTTCTCTGGAGGATGACTGCTTGAGTGTCCTCACCACATGGCAGCTGCTTCCTCTAAAGCAAGTGATCCAAGAGAGAGCACGGCAGAAGCCACAGTGACTTTTATGACCCAACCTTGGAAGTTACACTCTGTTATTTCCACAGTATCCTATTGGTCACACTGGTCTGCCCTATTCAGTGTGGGAGCAGACAACAGAGGGGCATGAACACCTGGAGGTGAGAATCACTGGGGCCCATCTTGGAGGTGGGCTTCACAGTTTCAGCATCTTTATTATTGTAAACAATTTTGACTTCAGAATTATCTAAAAAGTTTTCTCCCCTCTACTCAACAGCTGTGCTGTTAAGAGGTCTGTGGCTGCATGAGAACCCCTTTCTTCCCTTCTCTGTAGCTAGGGTAGAGAGAGGGCTAATTCATTGGGCTGGAATAACAGACACAGATAAAGCCAGTTTCAAAGTTAATAGGAAACACTATTTCTCCCAAGGACATGCGTTCTTATTCACAGAGAAAATCTGTTCTCGAAAATCAAAGTGTTGGAGATTCTGTCAGTAAAAATGAAACATCCCACTCTTGCCTGTAGGATCTAAATCATTTGATACAGAGTAGCAACCCAGGTGCAGAGCTTCAAACAAAGGGTTTCTGGACCCAACACTCCACATCTTCATCTTGTAGTTTCCAAGAATACAGGACCCTGGTTCCTCTTCACAGTCCACACTTGATGTTGACCCTGCTTTGCTTCCAGCCTATCATTCAGCTGTCAGTTAAACTCCACTCTTCCCCCAAATCCTATAATAACTCTATCTTTATCTTTGTTTGTCAAGATGCCCTATGGTTTCTCTGTTGTGTGGTGTCCATCATCGCCATGGGTCAATAAACTTGACTTTGTCCTGGTAGTGTTATGCTGATGGACTCAGACACCTATAATCTTCAATTGCTGTGGCTCCCAGCCACCCATGGGACATAGATCCATTCTCTATGTCCCAGCACTTCATCGTCTGACACCAGCCTATTTTTCTAATCTGAATTCTTTCTTCTTATTATTTTCTTTTTAAAAGGAGACATACTAATTTCCATACAGTAAAGTGTACGTCTTATGTGTACAGCTCAACGAGTTGTTTTTTGTGTGTGTAAGGAAGATTAGTCCTGAGCTAACATCTGTTGCCTATCTTTCCTCTTGTTGCTTGAGGAAGATTGTCCCTGAGCTAACATCCATGTCAATCTTCCTCAGTTTTGTATATGGGACACCACCACAGCATGGCGTGATGAGCGGTGCATAGGTCCACACCCAAGATCCAAATCGGCGAACGCCAGGCTGCCAAAGCAGAATGTGCGAACTTAACCACTACACCACTGGGCTGGCCCACTCAATGAGTTTTTAAACACAAGTATACCCAAGTAAACACCACCCAGATCAAGATATAGCACATCTCAGGCACCCCAGGAGCCTCTCTTGGGCCCCCTCCCTGTCCATACTTTGCCAATCTATCACCATAGATTAGTTTCCCCACCTTTTGAACTTAAGATTCCTTTTATTTTCACACAAATATACATAAATATTCATAGGCTTTAGCCATCGCAAACGTCTTGCCCCAATGAATGCTATTTTTGGCCTCTAATGTTCTTCTTTGATGTGCACTCCATGTTCCTTCCGTCCTGGGAGGGCTCAAGTCCCACCAAAAACTTCTAAAAATATTGCATGAATGAATGAAGGAAGGAAGGAAGGAATGAATGAAAGTTATAGCTGAGATAGAATGGATGGCCATCGGAATGGCACCACGATCAGTTCCTAAATGGAAGTGCTGATGGGACAGTCACGTGATAGAGGCCGCGCCTCCCCAAGCAGGTGAGCCAGGTGTGGTCACGTGACCCTCGGCCCTGCGGGGCGCGGCCATCTTGCGGGGCGGTCACGTGAGAGGCGCACGTTCAGCGGGGCGCTCACGTGACCGGGGGCGTGCTGCGGCCGCCCGGGCGGACCCGGCGAGAGGCGGCGGCGGGAGCGGCGGTGATGGACGGGTCCGGGGAGCAACCCAGAGGCGGGGGTGAGGCGGGAGGCACACGGGCGGGAGGAGGGCGAGCCCCCTCGCCGGCCGGCCCGGCGATCCCTCCTGCCGGTCCGGGGCCCTGCGATCTCCAAGCACTCCGGGGAGAAACTCCCGGATCCGGTGCTGCCAGCCAGCAGCCCCCTCCCTCCCCGGGGGTCCCCGGCTTTCTGGCCTCCGCGCCCCGATCCCTTCCGGCCTGGCTCTCTCGGACCCCCGAGAAGCCGGAGACCCCAGAAACCAAGCCCCCGGGCAGGCCCGGGCTTGTCGCCGGCACCACTTCCTGGTGGGAGGGGCGGGTCCTCCCCTCTGCCCCCTCAGGCCAGGGGTCTGGATGCATGAAGTGTTCCCTGAGCCTCCTCCCCCGGAAGAATGTAGGTCACAGGCGCAGGCTTCCTGCCTCTTCCTCCATCACGGACTCAGTTGTCTGGACCCTCAGTCACTTTATCTACCAGGGACCCAGAAATCCAGGGCCCCTAGCGTTGTCCTCCTCAGGGATCATGAGCCACCCCAGTTCCCTGGTTCCCCAGGACCCAGGAGTCCAGGCACCCTTCCCCTCCTCTCTCCTCTAGGGCCCACCAGCTCTGAGCAGATCATGAAGACAGGGGCCCTTCTGCTTCAGGGGTGAGTCTGAGTCTGGTTATTGCGGAGCGGAGCGGAGGCGTGACGCCCCATTCTGATTCTGCACCCTCCCCCTCTCCACTCCCACTCTAGTTTCATCCAGGATCGCGCCGGGCGAATGGGGGGCGAGACCCCCGAGCTGGCCCTGGAGCAGGCGCCCCAGGACGCATCCACCAAGAAGCTTAGTGAGTGTCTCAAGCGCATCGGAGATGAGCTGGACAGTAACATGGAGTTGCAGAGGTGTGTGTGGCCCCGGGGCCCAGGAGTCCCAGCTCCCTGCCCACTCATCCCCTAGGGGCCAGGCCCCCAGCCCCATTCTCCCTCAGACCAGGGGCCCGGGCCCCACTATTCAACTCAGCACTCTGGACTCCCACCCCACCCCCACCCCCCAGGATCCTGAAACCCTCCTTCAGGGAGCCGTTTTCCCCACTTTCCTAAATGTCCATCTGTCTGTTATGCCTCACGTTGGCCTCTTGCTTTTCATCTCATCCTGGCTTGGGCCTCAGTTTCCCTATCTTTGGTAAGGGGTGGATGCCAGGGTGTCCACACTGCCCCTGATCCTGCCTCACCAGCACGGGCTCTCTTTCCTGCAGGATGATCGCAGCCGTGGACACAGACTCCCCTCGCGAGGTCTTTTTCCGAGTGGCAGCTGAGATGTTTTCCGACGGCAACTTCAACTGGGGCCGGGTTGTCGCCCTTTTCTACTTTGCCAGCAAACTGGTGGTCAAGGTGGGCGGCTGCAGGGCCGTGAGCCCAGGGAGGCTTCTCTCAGACCCCTGAGGACCTGGGAGTCCTGAGATCAACCCCTGTGGCAGCCCAGGAACCACAGAGGGAATGGAGAGAGACAGCTACGGGCTGACTGTCTGCTCCTTCATTCACTTATTCATTCAAGAAACATTTATTGGGTCTACTATGTATGTGCCCAGTCAATCTATACTCAGCACCCAGGACGCAGCTCTGAACAAAACAGGCTAGGGCCCTGCTCTCATGGAGCTCACGTCGTATGATGAATGCTGAGAAGTAAACTAGGGTGACGTAATCGTGCAAAGCTCAGAAAAGACTTCTAAGAGGAGGTGACAAAGCCAAGGCTGGAATGACAAAAAAGATGCAGTGATATATAAGGATTGGGAGAAAGGCATCTGCAGAGGGCACAGCAAGTGCAAAGGCCCTGAGGTGGGACCAAGCCTAGTGTGTTGAGGGCAGTGAGGAGGCGTGTGTGGTTAGAACAGAGTGAGGAGGGAGAAAGGGTAGGAGATGAGGGCAGAAGGCCAGGGGTCTCGTGGACCACTGTAGAGACTTCAGCTTTACTCTGAGCGAGACGGGAGTGACTGGCTGGTTTTACCGGGAGAGTGATGTCACCTGACTTAAAAGATTATTCTAGGGGCCAGCCCGGTGGCATAGTGGGTAAGTTCATGTGCTCTGTTTTGGCGGCCCCGGGTTCGCAGGTTCAGATCCCGGGTGCGGACCTACGCACGGCTCATCAAGCCATGCTGTAGCGGCGTCCCATATACAAAATAGAGGAAGATGGGCACAGATGTTAGCTCAGGGCCCATCTTCCTCACCTAAAAACAAACGATGATGATTCTAGCAAGTATAGCAAAATGTTAATTGTAAAATCTAGGTTGCCAGTATATAGCTGTTCACTGTGAAATTCTTTTAACTTTTCTCTCTGAAGATTCTTAAGATAAAACATTGGGGGATGGGAAGCTCAACAAATTGTTCTGGCCATTGTGGGTAGAAAAAGGGATGATAGGGCACCAGGGCAAAAGCTGGGAAGCTAGTGAGGGGGCAACCCTATGAGAGTCCTGGCGAACAGTGACTGACCTGGACTCAGGTGGTGGCAGTCGAGGTGGCGAAGGAGGTTTCTTGATGTGTTTGCAAAATTGAGCTGATGGGGCTTGCGTGTTGGAGGTGAGGGGGGACAGCTGTCAGGGTGATGGTAGGGCTGTAAGGAGCTGGGGACAACAGGGGAGAAGCAGCCAGATAAAGGGTGGGAAGGGCAAGTTCAGGGGGTTGGAGAGCAGGTCGTGGGTAAGGGAGGTGTCAGGTCTTACCTGGTCTGGAGTCAGAAAAGCCCTCTCTGGGGAAGTGACATAAGACCTGAGCTTTGAGGAATGAGTGTAAGTTCGCTTAGTTCAGGCCTGTTTGGGCAAAATAATCAGCATGTGCAAAGGTCCTGAGGCAGCGAAGAGTCTGGTGGAAATGAAGACATGGAAGAAGGTCCGTGAGGCACAGAAAAGCAGCAGAAAGTTGAAATGCGATCGAGTCACAGCCTTCACAGAGTGCCTTGTGGGCTGAGCTGTGCCTTTTAGTCTTTATCCCGGGGCTACTGGGGAGCCGTGGAAGGTTTGTGAGCAGGGCAGTTGACAGTGACAAGATCCAGTTTACAATTTATGCAGCTTATTCTGACTGTGAGTGGAAAAGAGACCATACAGGGGCAAGAGAGGAAACAGATTTGAGGAAGGAGGCTTGGGGCCACTGTCCCCAGGCAGTGAGGACAAGGCTGAGTCCCTAAGTCCCACCCCACTCCCCACAGGCCCTGTGCACCAAGGTGCCCGAGCTGATCAGGACCATCATGGGCTGGACACTGGACTTCCTTCGAGAGCGGCTGCTGGGCTGGATCCAGGACCAGGGTGGTTGGGTGAGGCCTCTGGGACCCCTGGGCCTTCCTGAGCCCACCACAGTGGTGCCCCCGCCCCATTTTTGGATCATGTGGTCTATAATGTGTTTCCTCACATAAGTGGTCAGCCCCTGATTCTTCTGGTACCCACTGACCTCTCTGTGACCCCTGACCTCTTGGTGACCTCTGACCTCCCAGTGACCCCCTGACCTGACTAGCGCCTTCTGCCCTCCTTGGTGCCTCCACTTCCTCTGGAATCCCTCAAGTTCTTTGATAATCCTTTGACCCCAACTCTGTGGTACCTGTTCATGCCCTCTGACCCCTCTCCCTCGCTGATCTCTCATCTGCTGGCCCAGGGGCTGCCCCTTGGCCAAGATGCTGAAGTGACTCATGTCCCTGTCCCCAGGATGGCCTCCTCTCCTACTTTGGGACACCAACGTGGCAGACAGTGACCATCTTCGTGGCCGGAGTGCTCACCGCCTCGCTCACGATCTGGAAGAAGATGGGCTGAGGCCACCAGCTGCCTTGGACTGTGTCTTTTCTGCATAAATTATGGCGTTTTTCTGGGAGGGGTGGGGATCGGGGACCATGGGCGTTTTTCTTACTTTTGTAATTATGGGGGGGGGACCGGAGTGGTCTCGGGGGGGCAATAAACCTCTTTCGGGCCACACTTGAGCGTCTGAGTCACTGGGCCCACCCCCTGACTGTGGCAGGAGACCGGGCCTCACGTGCTGACACGTTTTCCTGAGGGTGCCCAGTGCCCCCTGGGGGTTAGTGGTGAGCTGCATCCCCGCCCTGGTCCTGAGGACAACGGAAGCAACTCAGATCACGGGTTGCAGCCCTAGGGCATTGTGTTGGAGGCAGCACTGGGCAAGGCCTGAGCCCCGCTAGACGAGCCTGGGGGTGTGGTGGGGAGAACAGGGCAGCAGGGTGCAGAGCAGGCTTCCTGGGCCTGGGGAACTAGGGCCTGGAAGCTTCCACGGTATGGGGCCACAGGAAGCTGCACATTTACTGAAGTGGAGGAGGGAAGAGGGGTGGGGAGAGGACCCGAGGAGGGCTCTGGAGCTGGCACAGATAGCGAGGGAGAGGGGTCAGAGGGCATGAACAGGTACTGAAGAGTTGGGGTCAAAGGGTTATTAAAGAACTTGAGGGGAAGCTACTGGAGGTCTGCGGGTGAGGAGGCTGGGACCAGAGGGTCCAAGGGAGAAGAGGAGACCTGAGGCTATGCTGTGTGGGGGGAGATGGGAGAGGTGGCTGGAGACTGACAGGCTGTGGGGGGTGGGGGGTGGGGGGGAGGAGCTCTAGGGCCTGGTCAGGAACTGGCTGGGAGGCCCCAGGAAGATGCTGAACTCAGAAAGGGGCCTCGCAGATTTAGACACAAGGGGACTGAGAATGAGATCACTCAGAAAGAGTCAGTCTGTCGTCCCTTCTCCCTGGATCTCTGTCCCCCTCTCCCTGGGTCTCTGTCCCCCTCTCCCTCTGGGTCTCTGTCCCCCTCTCTCTGGGTCTCTGTCCCCCTCTCTCTGGGTCTCTGTCTCCCTCTCTCTGGGTCTCTGTCCCCCTCTCTCTGGGTCTCTGTCCCCCTCTCTCTGGGTCTCTGTCCCCCTCTCTCTCTGGGTCTCTGTCCCCCTCTCTCTCTGGGTCTCTGTCCCCCTC